ACCACTACACACAACGACACCACATACACAATAAACACATACAGTAAGACGGAGACAATAGATGCAGATGAACAAGGCAGGCACACATAGGAAAGCTAGGGGGGACAGCACACTGCTCTACACACCGACACAACAGTAACACTATATCAAAACGCTAAGAGTCCTCGTGCGCAATCACACTAGGAATGAAAAGGCGACCACAACAGGGGGAACGGGGGCAACGGCAGATTGTACACACAACACGACACTAGAGCACACACGTACTGAAACAGACGAACACATCTTACCACACGAACACGTAGACAAGTAGAGTATGTCAGCAAGGACACACATTTACCATAAAAGTAGCCTTACACCAAGCAGTGTGACACCAACACCACCGTGGTTTCAAATCATTTATAGATGGTTGTAGAACACAACATCACACCAGACACTGCACAGCAAGGCACGCACTAACAACATAAACACACACACACACAGGAACTGTCACACGCCATGCTATACACCTGTCACTCTTAGAATCGAAGACAAGTTGCAGAGACTAGTGGATACAATTTGTCAGGGTGCAAAACGAAGCACAAATTACAGGTGCAAACAGGAAAAGTAAGCTCATGAGATAAAAAGACAGCGCATGCAAAGATCGATATCAATGCGAGCACAGATATGGAGGAGTGCCAACATAACCAGCACATCGGGACGTAGACCATGTCACGATGCACTATGAACACAAGCGCAACATAGCACACAGAGGAAAAAGAGTGAGTGGTGCACTAGAACCAGGAGACCAACAACCTCTCCACTTAGAGGCAAAGACGGCAACTGTATGACAGTACACTACTACACCAACGCTCTTATATGGGAGTGAAACCACAGGTGACGAATGTTCCCAAAGCCGAGAGACACGCTGAGAGCAAGCGGAGATGTCATGACTGGGCAATGTGCTGTGCAAAACAAGCAGACAATACGTAGTTGACTTAGGAGGAGTGCGATCACCAAAAACACACGCTACCAAAGGCGAGAAGTAACACAGGGATTCCGACACATAGAGAAATGGAGCGAAACAGAATACACACAGAGTTAACAGTCTTATGAACGAAACACGGGTAGGGTCGCCAGGAAACCGAGCAGGGCAAACGCAGGTTTTTACAGGCCTTGGACTACCACCAGCCATCACACTGTTTGACAAGCATGAACCGGAGACACATGGTTTTCTCAATACTACACGTGCTGTTGCAGTGATGAGACAACGCAACATTTAAGAAGGATTCAGGGAAACAGCAGTCGGACTAGTGACATGAAATGGAACTACAGTGTGCACTTATAATGAGGGCTATGTTCAGTTTGAAAACTTTAGTGAAAAGAACTTTCTGCCCAAGACAGTAGATGGAAATTAATTGAATGTTCATTTACAAAAACCCAACATAGATGAATCCATTGTGATATATTAAAAATACAACAAAATAGTGTACAATTATTTTTTTTTATCACACTGGGCGATTCCCACCAAGGCAGGGTGGCCTGAAAAAGAAAAACTTTCACCATCATTCACTCCATCACTGTCTTGCCAGAAGGGTGCTTTACACTACAGTTTTTAAACTGCAACATTAACACCCCCCTTCAGAGTGCAGGCACTGTACTTCCCATCTCCAGGACTCAAGTCCGGGCCCGCCGGTTTCCCTGAATCCTTCATAAATGTTACTTTGCTCACACTCCAATAGCACGTCAAGTATTAAAAACCATTTGTCTCCATTCACTCCTATCAAACACGCTCACGCATGCCTGCTGGAAGTCCAAGCCCCTCGCACACAAAACCACCTTACCCCATCCCTCCAACCTTTCCTAGGCCGACCCCTACCCCGCCTTCCTTCCACTACAGACTGATACACTCTTGAAGTCACTCTGTTTCGCTCCATTTCTCTCTACATGTCCGAACCACCTCAACAACCCTTCCTCAGCCCTCTGGACAACAGTTTTGGTAATCCCGCACCTCCTCCTAACTTCCAAACTACGAATTCTCTGCATTATATTCACACCACACATTGCCCTCAGACATGACATCTCCACTGCCTCCAGCCTTCTCCTCACTGCAACATTCATCACCCATGCTTCACACCCATATAAGAGCGTTGGTAAAACTGTACTCTCATACATCCCCCCCTTTGCCTCCAAGGACAAAGTTCTTTGTCTCCACAGACTCCTAAGTGCACCACTCACCCTTTTCCCCTCATCAATTCTATGATTCACCTCATCTTTCATAGACCTATCCGCTGACACGTCCACAATTATGTATTAATAAATTTAAATAAACATATGTAATAACATTTTTACTTACCATAATTGAAGATTGGTGATGGCATCTGGAAGATTGGGAGGAGGAGAGAGGGAGTTGGGGTTAGTGTTTGGAACGGGAATCCCCCTCCATAAGGACTTTAGGTATCAATGCTCTCCGCTCTGCACAGGACGTGGACAAAGTGGGCTCGTGGACAGGTCTGGTACCCGGCGGTTTCGAAAATAGGGGCGAGTTCTATAATAAGGACAAATTGGTTTGAAAAAAGCTTTCGATTTTTGAAGAGTTCGTTAAGCGATATGTTCGAAATTTGAGGTTCCACATTAAAGCCAAAGCACTACAAGATCCTTAAATGTCACTCCACTGTTGACAGTGCAGCAGTGGAGTGGCACTCGTCTTACACCATGCTTCAAGGAGTTTCATATATACTACCACATTTTCAAAACAGTCGACCTATTAATACATGTATGATACAATTCCTGACAATAGGAGGTGTTTGTAGGTTTTGAGGATATTTAGTACCTCATATAGTATAGCCAAAACTTGGTTGGATCCTAAGCACCTCTTTCAAAAGCAGTGATAAATTATGTAGGTAGAAATAGAAAGATGATGCAACATTTTCTGTAGGGCATTTTCACTTTTTTTTGTCCGTCGGTGGGAGAACAGGCCCGACTTTGCAAATCAAAAAAAAAAAAAAACATTATATTTAAGTTGTTATTTTAAAAATGTATTGTTTATATTTTTTTTACCAATATTATGTCGAAAGTGGCTATGGAATCACCAAGAACTACTTACAAATTATGTTCAAGCTAAAATATGTCTTATGAAAACAAGAATCCTAGCCTACACTTCTAGTATGTCAGCCTTTGTTGCCGTGGTGACAACAAGCGCCACCCCATTCAAACTATTAAATTATTTTTTTACAAGCATAAATGTCCTTGACCCAAATTTTAAATTTCCAAAAATTCGATTTAAAAATAGTTCGCATATGGGTAACATTCCTTGCCCTGAAATTCATTCTATTTTACTATATGGTCTTCCCTTCTGTTAAGTGCCAACCATGTTAATATTTCAACTACACAAAGCTTAAAGTCAGTACTCCTTTCCAATTTAAAAAAAAAATATAAAATGATTGGAATTTGTCATCGTTTTATGTGTCCTAATTACTTGCCATCAGTTTTTATATAAAAAAACCCGTAAAAGTTTTTTTTTTTGTTCTGAAATATCTGAGACAATATCTCATTTACTATATTAAATGGTAATTGCAGTAAGTGTAATGTTTTTCTCATCATGCTCTCCATAGAGCAGGATTTTTTTTATGTACACACTTCCTATACAGAATCAGTATCATATCTAGGCCACAATTTACCACTTAAAGCTTATCTGACTGAGCCGAGCGCATGATGTAGAACTTTGCAAGGGACCCTGGCCTCAGTGATATAGTTCTGTGTGATGGCCACTGAAAGGTTAATTTAGTGTTATTGCCTACGTGGCAGTTACTGATTGTGAAATTTTGTTTTGTTGATTTCACTTTCACAGTAAACTGGCTAGAGTTTTGTAAACTAAACTTTGGATGATTAAAGTACTTTATTGTACAGTGGACCCCTGAATTTCATGATTAATCCTTTTCAGAGTCCACTGAAAGGCAAAATTCACGATTGGTGATTCTATTTTCCCTATGAGAAATAATGGAAATCCAATTAATCTGTTCCAGACGAAAAGTTTTAAGAAAAAAGATTTTTTTTTTCATTAAATATAGATATACAGTACTTACAGAAAACAACAAAACAGTGGGACATAAAGTATAAAACAATAATGGCATCACACTTACCTTTATTGAAGACTCTTGTTGGTGTATGAATAAAATGTCATTACATACGTATGTTAAGAATTGTGGCGGTGGCAGGAGTGTCTTCGGAGACTGGACAAGAAAGTCCTTCAATATGACTAATATCAACTCTGCAGCTTAATTATCTATGACAACTTGTCTAATATGACATAATAAACAATATTAATAACAGAAACATGACAAATACCTTATAATGAATAAAATGTGTCATTACATAGGTCATAAGTGCTGTTGTGGTGTTGGGTGTAACAGGGCCACTGAAAGATAAGCCTTACATAATGGTGGTGAATGGCGGTAGCAGAGACGGCAGTGTTAGTCAGTCGCCCTATATACCTCGCACATCAATGGAGGAGTTAAGTTTCATGTTGTCATTTTTCTATCTATTAATGGCTTAACTTACTTGCTACACTGTTAATGCTACACTTCATCGCTGGCTGGCACATTATCGACTCCTGCTGCTTTAGTATTGTAACATATCGTAAAATCACTGAAGAAGGCACATTCTTCCGTCTCTGGCTTATTTAGCAGTTGCAAGCACAAAACGGATGGAATATATCTTATGAACACGTGAGGTGATGGTCATTCGCCTATAAACAATGGCACACTGGTGTGGGAGGGAGGCTGGCTTTGTTTGCAGGCTGACGCTGGGAGATGGGTCAGACACATACCTTACCGCTGCTGAATCACAAATAAAATCATGAACCGTGAGTATTTTTTGCCGAAAAAATTCACTGAAAGGCGAAATTTACGATACACGATGCCGCTGAAACTCGGGGGTCCACTATAATTAGCTTTTATTAAATTGCTTCATAACAGAAGTCAATGCATAGTAACAATATTAACCAGAATTCATCATTTTACCAGACTGGAAAATCACGAGGATTTGCATTTGTGTACTTTGAATCGATAAAGGATGCAGCTGAAGCGAAGGACGAATGCTCTGGCATGGAAATTGATGGCCGAAGGATCAGAGTAGATTTTTCTATCACGAAGAGACCTCACACACCTACACCAGGCATTTACATGGGTCGGCCCACCACGTAAGGTTTTTTATTCCCGTTCTTAATGTATCAAGTGAAGTACTTAATTTTGTGATTAAATTGGTTTGTATACTAATTGTAACTATTTTCTTTATTCTTTATAACAGTGTTAACAAAAATTCATATTTTTATAATGAAATTTGCAAAACTGTTAATAGTAAAAAATAAACATTGAATTATTAATTACATAATGAGCTCTGCAACATTGTCGTTTAATATTAAGTAAGATTTTTCATTCATCACTTCTGTTAATACCATTTTGTATACATCTTTCCCTTTCCTGAGGTTTTTTAGTAACTATTTCTTTATTAATTATAAAGGTTCTCCAGGTCTTGCTGCAGCCTTCTTCAATCATTGTATTCTGTGTTTTAACGCATTTCTAAGTTTACTTCAGGAATGGAGCTACAGTAGTTGAGCCAGTGAGATAATTTCTTATGCTTGTACTTTTTTTTTTTGTTCCTACCTTGGCCCTATGATTCAGTAGGAAGGGGTTTTTTTTTTTTTTTAATACTGGTCATCTCCCTCTGAGGCAGTGACCTGAAAAAGAAACAATTTTTTTTTTTTCACTTAATTATTTACACAGGAGAAGGGGTTACTAGCCTCTTGCTCCTGGCATTTGTGTCTTCTTTTACGATACGCATGGTTTGTTGAGGAAGGATTCTTCTTCACTTCCCCATGGAGAACTTTTCTATTTTAGTATTCGTATTTTTTTCTCAGGATTTGTTTTCCAGACTCTTTATTCTGTTTAAATCTGTCCCTGTCCAGTATATATTAAGCTCAGGCATCAACACATTGATAAATTTAACATCTTTAAGTGCCCTGTTGTTCATACAGTATTTCTGAAAGTGCAATCTTTAATGAGTGCTATTTATGGTTGCTTCTTTGGCATAGATGGCCACATTTTTTATTGTTTCAGCCATTCAAACTGCCCTCTGTATCCTTTTATTTTCAAAGTACATATTCCCCATCTTCCCCCTTTACTTTCCCTCCATTTTAGAGCTAAATAACTCTCAATGGTTGAACATTTTTATGAATAATAATTGCAATTAGTATTAGTATTATACTGTAGTACAGTCTGTCTTGCTGGAAGTTTGCCAGCACCATAGATCAGATAGCCCTCCAAACTGTAACACCTTCATCCTACCTTTAGAGTGGATGTACTGTAGATTGCTCTGAATCCTGTCATATGTTACCTTGCTTAAACTCCAGCAGAATGTCAGGTCACAAAAACCACTTGATTCCACTCTGACCTAAGGCATTCACACAGATCTGTTGGTGTTCAAGCTCTTAGTACTTAAAATCTCCTATACTCCCTCCAGCCCTTGCTGGGACAACCCCGTAACCATAATTCCACCCCAGATTTATATTCTCTTAATCATCCTATTTTGGCTTATCCTCTTAAATGCCCAGACCACCTTAGCAAACCCTCCTTAGACCTCTGAATTGTGCTTTTGGTAACTCCACAGTCTAATCTCCATGCTTCTAATTCTCTGCATAATATTAATATAACTCATCATCCTCCTCACTGCAGTGTTTAAAATCCATTCTTCAGGCCCATGTAAATGTTGGCACTGCTGTACTTTGGTACTAGTGGGTATTGCCAAATTTTGATTGTATTTTTGGCGAGTGGTGCATTGAGGTATATGTGGAGACAAAAAACATTATCAATGGAGGCAAAGGGAATGTATGAAAGTATAGTGGTACCAACACTCTTATATGGGTGTGAAGCTTGGGTTGTAAATGCTGCAGCGAGGAGGCGGTTGAAGGCAGGGGAGATGTCCTAAGGGCAATGTGTGGTATAAATATTATGTAGATTATTCGAAGTATGGAAATTAGGAGAAGGTGTGGAGTTAATAAAAGTATTAGTCAAAGGGCTGAAGAGGGATTGTTGAGGTGGTTTGGTCATTTAGAGAGAATGGATCAAAGTAGAACGGCATGGAGAGCGTATAAATTTGTAGGGGAAGGAAGGCGGGTTAGGGGTCATCCTCGAAAAGGTTGAAGGGAGGGGGTAAAGGAGGTTTTGTGGGTGAAGGACTTGGACTTCCAGCAAGCATGCATGAGCGTGTTAGATAGGAGTGAATGGAGATGAATGGTTTTTGGGACCTGATGAGCTGTTGGAGTGTGAGCAGGGTAATATTTAGTGAAGGGATTCAGGGAAACCTGTTATTTTTATGTAGCCAGACTTGAGTTCTGGAAATGGGAAGTACAATGCCTGCACTTTAAAGGAGGGGTTTGGGATATTGGCAGTTTGGAGAGATGTGTAATAGGACGGTATATATAAAATTGGGGCCCTGATATTATATTCTATACGGAGTTTTATAATGTTTCAGGTCACTTTTTATATTGTATCTTTATAATGCTTCTAAACTGTTTTATCTGGGCACCTCTGCAAAAACAGTGATTATGTATGAGTGAGGTGAAAGTGTTGAATGATGATGAAAGTATTTTCATTTTGGGGATTTTCTTTCTTTTTGGGTCACCCTCCCTAGGTGGGAGATGGCCAACTTGTTGAATTTTTTTTTTTTTTTTTGTTAACAATCAGCCATCTCCCACCGAGGCAGGGTGACCCAAAAAAGAAAGAAAAATCCCCAAAAAGAAAATACCTTGATCATCATTCAACACTTTCACCTCACCCACACATTATCACTGTTTTTGCAGCGGTGCTCAGACACAACAGTTTAGAAGCATATACGTATAAAGATACACAACATATCCCTCCAAACTGATATCCCGAACCCCTCCTTTTGAGTGCAGGCAAAAAATTAGTAGCTGCCTAAATATGAGTACTGGTGTTGGTGGGTATTAGCCAGTTTTGGTGATATCAGTATTGGTACCAGTATTGATGGGCATTAGCTAAGCTTGATGGTATTCGTATTAGTATCGACAAATAATTTGGTATTTCCCCATCCCTGTTTGGTACAGTCTTTACTTTGGCTAAAGAGGTGGGTCACCTGGAGCTGGAAATACAAAAATGTAAGACTGTGTACAAGATGGAGAGAGTGATCCTGGTATTGAAGAAACAGACCTAGACATACAAGAAGAAAAAAAAGTGATGGGGGGGGGGGGAGGATGCTTTGAGGAAAGGTCTCTAAATTACCAGTATTAGTGGTGGTGATACTGATACTGATACTGGTACAGGTGCTGAAGATAGTGGGGGGGAGGGGGTTCAGGAAAAACAGCACCAGTAGGGAAGCCAGCCACAAAAAAAAAAAAAAAAAAAAAAAAAAATCCTAACAAATAGGAATCAAATCTCTAAATTCTGTACCTTGGGTATCTGTAGGCATGGAATATCTAGAAAAGGTGGGATGTGCAATTTTGACCATCTAGAAAAATGCCATGACCACATGGCCAAACGAGTATGCATTTATTCTTGTAAATTATTTCATCCTGAAATGTGTTATTCATCCATCCATGAACGACAACGTTACAACACCACTGTCAGGCATACCAGGTCACACACCTTGGGTAACAAATGAGGGTAGTTACGACCACTAAAGAAAGAAGTCTTAGTGCAAGGAAGAAAAATAGCTGGCAGGAAATGACAAATACGACACCATCTCGGATCACTTCTGGTTGGAGGCAGTCATTGCCCACCCCCCTTCCCCTCCAGAACAACAGATATTAGTGCCAGCAAATAAAGCCCTCTTCCATACCGTCATTATGACGACATTCGTATTTGCAGATATGCATGGTCTAAAGCCATTAACAAACAAAATAACTTTCATCAGAGGACTCTTCAGAGTCAAATGCATTGTTTGTGGCCTTCACAGAGACCCACACAAAGGATCACTTTGACAATGAAATATGGATCTCAGGGTACAATTTATTCAGATGCAACAGAAGGATCAGGCAACAAGGGGTTGGCCTGTATATCAGTCACTTATTTGCTTGGAATTACTGAATGCCACAAATGTTGAAATTTTGGCAGTAAAGATTAAAAACCAAAACCATCATTGTGGTTGTATAAAAGCCACCAGATAAAACTTGCCAACAATTCAAGGAACAGTTTTTAAAAGTTGAGTTCTGTCTCGAAAAATCTTCCAACCCCAGCACCAAATACTTTGTTGCTTGGTGATTTCAACTTCAGGCACCTAAAATGGAGGAATGTGGCAAATAATGTCGTACCAGAGATAATCCTAGGAGGCAGCTCATGTGAAAAGTCACATGCATGCACACACGAGAGAACGAGAACGAGAGAGACCGAGAGAGGGGGGAGAGAGACTGAGGGAGAGAGAGAGAGGGACTGAGAAAGAAAGCAAGAGTGAGAGAGATGGAGAGGTGTGAGAGATGGAGAGGGGAGAAAAAAAAAGGGGGGGGAAAAGGGGGGGATAGAGAGAGAGAAGAGGGAAAAGGGAAAATAAAAGGGGGGGAAGAAAAGAGAGAGGGAAAGGGGGAATGAGAGAGAGAGAGAGGAAGGGGGGGAAAAAGGAGAGGAAGGGAGAGAGAAAGGGGGGGGAAAAAAGAGAGAGAGAGAGGAAGGGGAGGGGAAAGAGAGAGGAGGAAGGGGAGAACGAGAAAGAGAAAGAGAGGAAGGGGAGACAGAGAGAGAGAGGAAAGGGGAGAACGAGAGAGGAAAGAGAGGGGGGGAGAATGAGGAGAGAAGGAAGGGGGAATGAGAGAGAGGAGGGGGAAGGGGGGGAAAAGAGAGGAGAGGAAGGGGGGGGAATGAAGAGAGAGGGAAGGGGAGAAAGAGAGAGGAGGAAGGGGAATGAGAGGAGAGGAGGGGAGAATGAGAGAGAGGGAAGGGGGGGAAGAGAGAGGAGGGAAGGGGGGGAACAGAGAGGAGGAAGGGGAAACGAGAGAGAGAAAGGGAAGGGGAGAACGAGAGAGAGAGGAATGGGAGAACGAGAGAGAGAGGAAGGGGAAGCGAAGAGAGAGGAAAAGGGGGGAAAAAAACGAGAGAGAGAGGGAAGGGGGGAACGAGAAGAGAGGAAGGGGGAACAGAGAGAGGGAAGGGGGGGAACGAGAGAGGAGGAAGGGGGGGGAACGAGAGAAGGGAG